AAGAAAAAGGAATATATATGCTACTAAGGGCATGAATATTTGGCCCATACAAGTGGTAAAAAGGCCGTTTACCTTACTTGTCGCAAAAGATGTGGTGGTAGAGCCAAATTAATGATTGGTCTCGATTTAATTATCACCATCCAACATTCTTTAGAATATCAAAACTTGGTAGCAGCCATAACTCCTAATGCAAATCAAGATATCCTTACAATAATTTTAACATTGATTTAAAGATTTAGCATTAGCATTAGCCCCTCCACCTTCAAGTTCAGTTGCCCTGGCCATTACACATCAAGGTATTTTTAGTATATTTTTATTAAAATTAATTTAAAATTATTAGCCCAAGTTTCAATAGCCCTTCAAACTTCTAATGCATATCAAGGTATTTATATATATCCATACAATAATTTTAACATTGATTTAAAGATTTAGCATTAGCCCCTCCACCTTCAAGTTCAGTTGCCCTACACATCAAGGTATTTTTGTATACTTTTATTAAAACTGTACTGTCAATTGTATAGTATCCATATAATGTATCAAGAAGTTATGATACCGATTATATATGCCCTCCTCCCCGATAAAAATAGAGGGACATATATTGAATTATTTCAAATTATCTTGCAATTTTGCTCGATGAAAAATATCCGATTCAAACCTCGATTTGGACAAACTGATTACGAGGCCGCAGCTATATCGGCGCTTAGGTTTGTTTTTCCCAATACATTGTATATTATAACTAAAAAAATTTAGGCTGTTTTTTTCACTATTCCCAGGCTCTTTGGCGTAAATGTCCGGCGCTGGGTTTAGTTAGCAGTTATTTGCATAATACTACTATTCATCAAGTTGTTAGACGAATGACCACTTTGTCATTTTGCAAAGAAGAACATATTTCCGAGGTACGGGCATCATGCCATGCTCTGTCTGCTGAATATCCTTTGCTCAAAAATTTTATGGATTTTACATGGCTCGGAGTTAATGCCATATTCCCCCGAAATATATGGACCAGGTAATTAAAACATTTAAATATTAACTTTACTTATAATCTTAGGTATCAAGTTGACGGCCGGCCCTAGAACTAACAACCACCTGGAGGGGTATCATCATGCCCTCAAGAGAAAAACAAACGTGGCTCATCCGAATATTTATTGTCTGATAAATATTTTAAAAAGACACCAACATTCGAGTGAGCTTAAGGTCTTACAAATTAATAGTGGGTTGAACGCGAGGAGAATAAATAAAAAATTCGATCAATTAAATATTAACATTGATATTCTAACTCGTATATACGAGCGTACAAATGAAATATATCCTTTTTTAGATAATGTTTCATATTTTATAAAACAACAATCATAACCCGTTATTTATATTTCTTTTATATATTTACATTTTTATTATTCTCTTGCTATATATTGTATACTTTATTTACATTTTTATAATTATTTTGTATAATAATGTAACTTTAATATAAAAATTTATAAATAATTTTTTTTCATGCATATAGCATACATATTTCAGTAATAAAAATACTTATTTAGTAGATGCTTTGACCTAAAATTGTTGCTTATAGAGGGCAATGACGTATAATAATACATAAACTGATGATTCATTCATTAAACCTTTCTTTAAAATGTATAGTAGTAACATTATGTAAATATATTTTTAACTGCTTGTAAAAATTTTGATAAAATACGAATCCTTTGGGTGAAAATTTTTATAAAAAGAAAGACCAAAGCATTTAAAAGAGTTTTTTATTCTGCCAAAATATTGTAAAAATTATAGAATCTTTATAAAATTCTAGTGACTCACAGGATTGTTTAACACGCATGTTCAAGTGGTGTCTTATGATTCTTTTCCGATTTGGGTTGATTTAAAAAAAATATTTTTTTGTGAGTGTTTATTTAATCTTCATTTTTCTAATAAATTATATCAGCGTCTACCTCTACATGAGAGAAAAAAACCCTAACTCCACCCGAAAAAGATTTTTTACTGCCTATCCCCAGGAAGCATACACTCTAATTCTGAAATAAAAATAATATATATTTATACTATTTCTAAAAAATTACTATTATTTTTACTACCTTAAAATTTACATGAGTGAAGCAAATTTAATATTATCTATTTTTTAAAATAAATAAGGAGAAAATCATGCGAATGTAATTTTACTTATAAATAATAAGTGTTGGGGAAGTAAATAAAAAAATGCCTATTTTTTAAATAAATAAAAGAGGTTGAGAATATTTTTATATTATATTTTTATCTGTGTCTAATAATTGCAAATTGTATTATTGAAAATTTATCAAAAATGATTTAGTTTAAGAATTTTTGATGTGAAGCAATGAATTATTAATAGGAAGATAAAAACCAAAAGGATTAATATGAAAAATATGAATGGCTCACTGGATGTGGATTTTCTATATCCTTATATTGTTGGTCGCCTATTATTCTTGAAGGAAAAATATGTTTGGATATGAATAATTTTTTAAAGGCAATTTTACAGCATGAAGAATCAACCGCTTATTTGAAGTCGATAATTCAATTAAAATCATTTGCCAAAAATTTAATTAAAAATATGATAGATTCCAGGTGCAAAATATGAAAACAAAGACGAATTCTGCTTATTTATAAATATTAATTTTTTGTATGGTTAGACTTATAAAAAGAAAAAATGATTTTCTATTACTTCCCTGGTAGTATTTAATGCTTCGTCACTGTCTGAAGATTTTGCGTATAGATGGCAAGAAGATTTGTTAGGTTACATAAAATTATTTTGAATAAAATCTTATGGGGCCATTTTAAAAAATCGAAAGCGGGCTTTTAACAACACTAAATTACTTAATAAAGAATTAAAATATTTATATATAATAATAATTAAATAGTATAGCCATAATTTACAAAATTGTAATATTTATTTTAGATTATATAATTAAAGTTTTATAATATATACTATAACTTTTTATATAATTAATCGTTTAAAATTTGTATAAAAATCAGTGACGAAGCGTCCATAGAAGCAAGGGAAGCAGGGAGGCATTGCTTCCCTTGAAATTTTTCTTATAAAATTTTTAAATAAACTTAATATAATCTTTTTACTATGCCAAATAAACTAAACTGAATTCGTTAAAAAAAATTAACATAATTTTTATAACTTAAAAATATTAATATAATTTTTATAACGTTAAAAAAATAATATTATTTTTAGTATATTAAGAAATACTATTATTTTTACTACGTTAAAAATGTTACTATTATTTTTACTACGTTAAAAAAAATATACATGAGGGAAGCAAATTTAATATTGCTTATTTTTTTTAATAAATAAAGAGAAAATCATGCCATGGTATTGTGTAATTTTACCATTAAAATATAAGTATTGGGGAAGCAAATTAAAAAATGCTTATTTTTTTAATAAATAAAAGGAAATTTTTTATTTAATATTTTTTTCCTTACTTTTTTAAAATAAAAAATTTTTCGTTTTTAAAATCCTTAATTAATGTTTAATAATTGTACAGGATGAGCCAAAATCCATTATTAAATCTATCTTTGATTTCGATTGAAAAAAAATTATTAAAATTTAAAATCTATTTTTATTATGCAGTACTTGATCATTTTACTCAAAAATAAGATGAATACCACTTATTTATAAATCTTAATGTTTTTATGGTTTGAGTTTGACTAAAATAAAAAAATTTTTTGATTGCTTCCCTATTAGTAAACTTGACGCTTCGTCACTGATAAAAATTATATGGGGATATATTTATAATTATATAGCAATAGTCTCATAATATTATAATGATTTTTATATTAATAATTTATAATTACATATTAATAATTAATAAAATTATTTATATATTAATAATTTAAACTTCTTTACATTTTCATCATTTAATATCTCGCTATTTTGATAATCGCTATTGGGTTTAGTTAGCTTATATTTGCATAACTTTGCCATTTTGCAAGGAAGAACATGTTCCTGAAGTACAATCATCATGCCATGCTCTGTCTGCCGTATATCATTATTTTGCTTTACCGTTTTAATAAATCAAATGAGAGATAAATGTTTTTCATTGTTTCCCTAGTTTGGTCACTGTTATAGCTATTCACCATAAGCTATGTTAAAGTAGCGTGCTACATTTTTTAAATAGCGATAGTTAGTTACTTTACTTTTATAAAAATAGTAGCTAATTAATAGCGCTGCCATTTATTTAGAGTAGCCATAGCTAAAAAAGAGGGGAAGCTTGAGAGGATATTGTAGAACAATCTCTGAAAATATTTAATACGTAACTTATTAGGTTAATTTTTAATATTTAATTATAATTTTTTATAGGAAAAAATTGTAGTATAGTTAGTTTTCATTTTTCTAATAATCTATGATTTGCTCCTTATCAACGTCTACATAGAGAAAAAAAAACTCTTACCTCCTACCCCTAAGTGATTTTTTATTCACTATTCATAAAGGCGATATGATGACATGTACCTTCTCCCCAGCATGTCGCTATTGCTTCTTATTAGTATTCTCCTTTATTTAATATAAATTTTAATATATAAATTTGTAATTATATTATAATACCCCCCCCCCCCTCATATAATATAGAAATGATTTAAATACAATTGCAATATACATGTTTATAATATCATATAATAAACATAATATTAATATGGATAAATTATAGTTAAAATTTATAAAAGATATATGTGTTTATTTATAATTTAAAACAATTTATATATTAATAATTTATAAAATACTATAATATTATTAGATAAAAATTATGCCTAATATATTTTATAATAACAGTTTTATAATATTAAAATGATTTATATATATAACAATTTATACAACACTATTAATATATAAAACTTATATATGTAATAATATAATTATATAATTAAAATAATATAATAAAATGATTTACATTTTAATAATTTATAAAATAATTTATATATTATTAGGCTTCTTAAGATTTTCATTCATTTAATTCTTTGCTATAGAGGTGGAACCAAAATTTTCATTCAGATGTATAATTTTAAGCTAATACAATTGCTAGAGAGTAATAAAAATTCAAGCTTAACCGGTTTCTGCTTCAATTCAATAATTGGAAAAGTTTTTTTATTAGGAAGCAGAAAATTATACATATTAAGTAATATTATTGAAAGACTTATTGACATAGAACCTTTTTTAGATAAAGACAATCCAAATATTCAGGAAAATGCAATAGAATTGATAAGATTTCAGGATGCCTTGGATTTTTCAAAATCTGAAATAAATTTGTTATCATTTGATTTTATCTTTAATTATGTAAACATATCCATCTATCTTTATCAAAGATTTTATTAAAATTTATAAGGATTCATTATGCCTAATTTATGGTGGAGAAATATCAAAAATATACATGATTTCTGGTTACATTTATAGAAACCATAGTTTAAAATGTGTTAAGGATTTTGAGAGTTATAATATCACTGCTTCATCATGGAGCTTGGATCAAGAAATTATAATATTGACCACTAATAAAGTACTTTTTTTCTAATAATATTTCCAACAAAACTTTTACTAATAGGATGAAATATTGGTATTAAATTCAGAATTTGATATAATTAAACAAATGATATTAAACCCTTCAAATATAGGAGCAAATGAACATGTGTCATTAGGATGGGGAAGTATGACAACTCAATTTAAGGGCTCTGCTATTACTAAGAAGAATGTAATTATCAATTTTTATAAAATTAATTAAAAATTTATAAATTTTTTGAATTTAAATCTGTAGCAAATATTAGTATATTAATTATATTATACAATTTTTATGTTTTTAAATTAATATAGCTTAAAGCAACTGCCAATACTTATGACAAATTGGAAAGTAACTCATCATGTATAATTTTTAATGAGCATGAAAATAAAGTACAAAATCCTACATGCAAAACTAATGATTTTAAAGAATTCAAAAATCCTTATATATCGTGGAATGTTCAAGAAAATCGATTTTTTGCTATCAGCACTTTTGATATAAGTCATAAAGGTAACAAAGATAGTGATGTTAACGGGATCAGAAAAATAAGAATATATGATAGAAACAATGAATGGAATATACATACTACAGTGGAGTATACACAAAATTTGATGAGGGTGATTTTTATATAAATATAAATTCTAAATTTTATAATTATAGTTTTTTTAATATCCTTTTATTTATGAATATAAATCAGAGACCTGCAGAGGTCACATTTGCAAGGCCTGGCCCTGATCTTTTTTCAAAAATTTTTTATGGCCTGGCCTGGGTTTAAAAATTTTAAGCCCGGCCCGGATATTTAAAAAAAAATTTTAAGCCCAGCTCGGAATTATTATATTCGACCTGGTATATACAAAAAATTCACCTATTTGGTATTTTATCTTTTTTGGCTAGTATTATCATTTAATAAGCAAGCATATTAACTAATGTTGTTAAACGGCTCATTTTGAGCCGATTTTTAAAAAGGGCTAACTCAATATTTTTGCCAGAAAAATATTGACTAAGCCTAGAAATTTCGATATTTTATGACTAGACCTTTGCTCCTTTTATGAACAAAATTTTTATGGATAAAATACTGTGTTAGCCGTTTTAAAAAATCGGCTCAAAACAAGCCGTTTAACAACACTACCATATTTTATTTTTTTATTCTAAACAGATATTTAGTATATTACAAATTGATACTATAAAAAATTTGTGTAGATAATATTTTGAGTATACTATATTAATTGTATTTAAAAAAATAATAAAACTGATATTTTAATTAATGAAAAATATAACATATATTATATTTATATAATAATGTATTTATTACCTATTATACTTTGCTTATTTATTCCATGGCAGGAAAACTATAATTATATTATGTAATAGAACTATGAGTGTTAGCTAGTGTTAACTTTCACCCAACATTATAATAATCATAACTATATATAATCATTATAACCATTCTAATTAACGAATATAATAATTCATGTTGTATAAAATTTTTTAAAAAATTTTACAACCCGACCCGACCCGTGTATTTTAAAAAAAAAATTTCAGGCCCAGCCCAGCCTGGGTATAAAAAAAATTTCAGCCTCGTGTCCAAGGACGGGCCTGCAAGTCTCTGATATAAATCTTAATAAAATTTTAAGTTAATTTTAAGGATTTGTACCCTAACAAATACTGACTTTATTTAGAGTTCATCGTTCTTAAAAAAATAATGGTTCAGTTTGCACTTTTAAGCCCTTTTGAACCCTTTCACATACATACACGCTAGAATGTATATAAAGAAGCACATTTAAAAATATATTCCCACTAAAACCCATTTATAAAACAGCCAAAGTTTATTTTATCATTATTGCACCTTAAAATCTACATAATATATAAATTATAAACAAATAAACAGTATTTATTAGCTAGTAATATAACAGTTATTCTTAGATTGACAACCTATACTGATTAACCAATAAAAGTTGATTGATAATAATCTTTAAAACCTGTAAGAATTCAAAATGTTTCACCAACATTCTTTGAGGTTCACTTTAGGTTCAGATGACCAAATTTTTATTGGTTCAACTTGGGTTTGATAAATAATGATGGTTCAGTTTTCATTATTTCATTTCCAAAATTAAGTTATAAAATAAAGATGCATAATGCTGATTCCAATATCATTCCTATATTTTTTATATGCCAAGATACTGTCAGTTCTTTGATTTTTATGCTTCATCTTATATTTAAATTTTGATGCCTTTTTTTGATTCAATAATTTGGTTGGTCCAGAAAATTTCTTTGAATCACAATAAAAATTGCATTCTTTTGTTGTATTATTCTTCATAAGAAAATTAATTCCACAAAAAATAAATATAGAGTTCTTGAGATCATTTTTAAAAAATTGGGCTTAGTAAAGACCCCACTTTACCTTGTTTAAATAATTTATTTTAAAAAACTTTTGGCTAATAATATTTATCATATATATACACATGTGATCATAAATTAATTATATAGAAATTGGCATTTCTTAAAATGTCACTTATCCTTGCTAATCCAATCCTGCATCTCTATTATAAATACTAGTGATTGGCTCGATTTGAACCATTTAAAAACGATTAACTCAATATTTAAGCCAGAAAAATCTTTTACTAAGCCTCGAGATTTCGTTAATAGATGTTCAAACCTTTGTGCCATGTATGAGCAAAATCTCCAGGATTGCGTAAATTTTTCTGAATAAAATATTGAGTTTGCAGTTTTTAAAATCGGTTCTAATCGAGCTCTTTAACAACTAATAAACACTATCATGTTGTTTCCGCCTACATAATATTAATTTAATATACATTTGATTTACTTAGTATTATAAAATGTGTAAAATGAAGGCAATATATTGAAACTATACTATATATCTCTCTTTTTTTAACTTAGGTTATATTTTTTATTCCCTAATTGCTTTCTGTTTTAAATAATAATTTAAGCCCATATGTTGGCGGCCCGATTATAGCGACCTATTAACAACTATATCCAAACCGGAAACACCCTATTTTAACTTGACATTTTTTGAAAATAATGGCCTAAAACTCGGGGGGTTTGATTTAAATCAATACCGATCATGCGAATTTAATTTTTTAAATGGCGCTGAAACAACATACAATTCTGTTGATAAAGGTGATGCTATCAGAGAAACTGGCGAAATTATTCTTAAAATTGGGTGGAACGTTTGTAAATATTCGGGTCAAGATCCCATCGTATTAGCTATCCTGATTGCCACTGAGATGAATCTCGTGAAAACTGATGGATTAGCACCTAACGGCGAAATATTATGTGGAGAAAATAGAGAAAGGGAAAATGAAGGAGGATATAGCGATACGAGAATCGAATTATGGACCAGCAAAAATTATCACTGGTATTTGAAGGGTGTACTTAGTCGCAAATACGATACAACCGTACCTATCAAAGGTGATGATAAAAGTAATTAAAAATTTTTATGCTTAATAGATGTCAAATTAAATTATCTCACTTTATTAACGTTCTCTCCCCTTTACTTTTTATTTCTTCTTCATATTATAAATAAATTGGATATGTATATGTAAGTATTTATGAGTAATATCGACTAACTTTATAAGCTAAAATAATATTTTCTTTTTAATCAAATTCTATGTTCATGATGTTTAAATTAATTTATAGGCGTATGTAATAACATTTAAGGATTAAATCGCTAATTAAAGCCTTTAGACTAGGTTCATAAGAACTTCGGGGGAGAGTTTTTTTATTAGTTCTAATGGAATTTTTCTAATTTACTGACACTCAATTTATTGGACGCCTGATGACTTTTACGAACGATTTTTTGGTGTCTGATTGTTAAAAAAATCATGGTAAAATTAACTATTGGTCATTCGCTTGTGATGATTAAGTGGATTTATTTAAAGTTGTTTTTTTGTGTTAACAAAAAAAAGGATGTTTTCTCTAAAAGAATACGATTAAGAAGTAATGGTTAAACCTTCCTATGTTTTAGAAAATATCTGGTGGTTTTATTGTGGCGCTTAAGATTTGATGGCAAAATGTACAAGAACGCTTGTGACTTAATTATTTTTTCCCTCATTATTTGAAAACTGAATGTGAGACTGTATTAAAAGATCAAGTTATCGGCAGTGTTCAAGATAAAAGTTAAAGATTTCAGAATCCTTAATTGTATTACCAACAATAATATTAAATATGAAGGAGTGATTCTATTTATTAATCATTTTTTTAAATAAAAATTAAATTTAAGAAAGGAGTTATAATTGTAATTATAAATATAACTAATTACATGCTTGAAAAATTGTAATTAATTATAATTATTAATTCCTTTTTTTAACGTCGATTTAATTACAACTAGCTACTAATTACAAAAAAGGGAATTATAAGTAGGTAATATACTGCCCATCTTTGTTTGCATATATTAGTGCATCGGGCCTAATTTTTCAAGGGCTCTCCAGTACACAAGGTACTGGAGAACCCTGAGGCCAGCAGGCCATTCTTTATTGCTATCTTTAATATACAGCATATGTATTATTACTATAAATGGCGAGTGTTATTATATAACGCGTTATAATACAATTATCATTATATCATACGATAACAATCCGCAGGATTTATTATATTTGTTTGCGAACTATAAGAGCCCCTTAGGGGAAAAACCAGAGGTACGTCCAACGGTTTACGCAAGAGTTAATAATAAATTGTTTAGTTAAAATTAAAAAATACAAAAAGTAAACAATTAACCTTGCGTAACCTATTTATAGGCATAGGATCTTATTTCTGAGGTCGGATGTATGGCTTTGACCCTAGGGAGAGGCTGGAACGGATAGATTATTATTATCACAATAATCGTTTCCAGCGGACCTATCGGCCCATGTTTTTGGCTATTGCCTAAGTTATTGTTAACAATCTTATTTATTATTTATATATATAAACGTAACTAAATTAATCATGTATATATGTATAATATTATATCAATGTGGTGGGGGGGGTGAGTGTTCCTCGAGGGTGATTTGTTCCTCGCAGGCTAACATCTCTTCAGTCTGAACCGTATCCTCATTGATTGATAATTCCAGGGTGTTATCGAAAATCCCGGGGTCAAAGTCCAGTTCACGGTTCAGACTGAAGAGATGTTAGCCTGCGAGGAACAAATCACCCCCGAGGAACACTCACCCTTCCCCCCACATTGATATAATATTATACACATGATTAATTTAGTTACGTTTATATATATAAATAATAAATAAGATTATTGTTAACAATAACTTAGGCAATAACCAAAAACATGGGCCGATAGGTCCGCTGGAAACGATTATTATGATAATAATAATCTATCCGTTCCAGCCTCTCCCTAGGGGGAAAAATCAGAGCCATACATCCGACTTCAGAAATAAGGTCCTATGCCTATAAATAGGTTACGCAAGGTTAATTGTTTACTTTTTTTAATTTTAATTAAACAATTTATTATTAACTCTTGCGTAAACCGTTGGACGTACCTCTGATTTTTCCCCTAGGTGGCTCTTATAGTTCGCAAACAAATATAACAAATCCTGCGGATTGTTAACGTATGATATAATGATAATTGTATTATAACGCGTTATATAATAACATTCGCCATTTTTAGTAATAATACATATGCTGTATATTATAGATGTAAATAGCAATAAGAATGGCCTGCTGGCTTCAGGGTTCTCCAGTACCTTGACCCACCCGAAATAAATTATTTGTCAGCTCGACCCAAATCTGTTTAAATTTAACGCCTTGTTACTTGCAAGATTTTAAAATATATCAATTTATTTGACAAAATGTAATATCATGTTTAAAAATATAGGCCAGGCCCGACCCAGCCCAAAACCGTAATTATTTTTAAAAAATAGATCCGGCCCGGCCCGAATTTTCAGATCTCTAATATATATCGCAAAAAATCTTAACTCTATTCTATGTTATAGAACATAATGATGAAAAAAAAAATCTAATTTAACATTTCTTTTATATCATATAAGAAAGGCTTTTCTTTATTGATAAGTTTTAAATATAAAACAAATATATGTGAACAAGATAAAAGTAAAAGTAAATAAAAACATATATAAATTGAAAATTATACCAAAACAAATTGAATCCCTAAATTATATTTAAAATTTTATATTTAAATATTTTTCCTTTAAAATATGGATTCTTTGGTTTCCAATGTTTGGATTCCGATTAGCCAATATTTTAAAAAAAAAATGAATGTATTGGCAAATTGTCTACTGATGGATGTGCCATTGTGTAAAGATGAAGTCAACCAGTGTTTCGTGTTTGTTTATTTCTTTGTGGTAATACATGTATAATTCCGAGATTTACTAATATCCCTCCGTATGTGAGCTCATCAGATCTTAGGCGCCATCATCTGGTGAAATTTAATGTAATGTTAGCATTTGCACAATATTTAGTCAAATTGTATGTATCATATTTTAAAATAAAGTTGATTACATACGCGATTTCATATGGGACACTGAGGAACCGCTTAGAATACATACCATAACTCGGCAAGGCATCTACAGCAGTTACACATGGGCCAGTCATTTCGATGTTCATTATTCTAGCGTCTGCGATAACAAGGGGCTAGAGTGAGCCATATATTTTTTTTACCTGTATTTTAAAAAGGTCGGATCAGCACCTAATAGGAAAAAGCACATGTTCATTATAAAAATGATGGCTTACGTATTAATCTATTCCCAGTGTGCCACATATTATTGAAGCATTTAAATGCGCCTTCATTTCACCGATTGCCAAATTTTTACGTAATAATGAATAAGAATGGAAGAAAGGAACGAAAAAGGAAAGGGAGATTTTTTTTTAAAAAAATGAATAAATTTTTTATCGATTATAAGGTCGGAAGTGATTAACATGTTAGTGATAGAGGGTTGCAAATTATTGGTCACCCCTATCAATTACATGATCATGCCGCTCCCGTATTACGCTTACTCCTTGGATTTCGATGCCCCAATCAATTACATCACTTATATGGACCCACAAAATAACCACAACGTATGCGAAGTGGTTGCTAAAAATTTTACAGAAAGGTCTATTTGCTCTAATTTGTTATTCGTTTTTCTCGTCGATTCTACGTTCCAAATCTTTCGCCTTGTGTCACGTGAGACCTACGATAACGGTTAAAATTATTTAATCATAAAATTTAAGTTGTTTTTGAATAGGCCTAAGTTTACTTGCACACACCTTTAGCCTCATTTATAGGAAACACGTTATGTTCCATGGTACGTTGTTTACAAAATTAAGCCAATAATATGATGATAACGCTATGATAAAATTTAAAAAACATATGTAGCGATGCGATGATAAAAAAAAATATGCGATACGATTATAAAAATATTTGCGCATTCAATAAAAAAGCATATGATATTTCTTAAATTTATATATATTTAGTTATTTTAAAAAAATATTAACGCGATCATCTGTGAGTTCGATAGCGTTAAATAACAACGCTTGAGCATAACGCCTTTACTATAAAAGAGGCCTAAAATTTTTAAAATATTTTTCCCGTTATATATAACCAATTTTTTTGATCTACACTTGAACGTTATAATGTAATTGAAAATCTTTTTTTTACAACAAAAAACGGCAAATATTATATTTAGAAACGTTACTACTCTCTGAACAGATGACTATATCTCCCCAAGCCAAGACGAATTTGCTCAGAAACAATGTCCCCATGTACATACCTCATGTAAAAGTATGCTCAATTAATAGTATAGGTTCTGCGATATATTCCGTCTCTAATATCTTAGCCCGGTATCGAAATCAAAATGATTTCGATCGTGAGAAAGATACCCAAAATATCACGTCACCCTTGAATATTTATCATTCTCTTCTTTTGCCAAATTTTTACCGACGAGGCAAAGATAATCCGATCCGCCTTGCGTTCGTCTACGTTTCCTCTATATACGTTTTGAATATTTCTGACGATCGGAATCATGATGATGGGTCACATCTTTCGATCGAATTCATTGGGAAAATAAATGACGAAAATATCATAGCTGGAATACATTGGGTATATGATCCTACGAAGACGCCCGAATTTCTCTTCGTAATTCAGGATGGAACCGGAAATTTGAGCAAATTTTATCACAAATTTGTTGACAACGTCGTCGTTAAACATACAGTGATTGAAAATGTAACAATTAATATTTTGATATTAATATTATTTTAATTTTAATAATAATTATCATTTATGAATACTACCTGTTTTACTTAAAACGACAATATTTTTGTCTATTATTTAGTATGTAACGGGGTAACGAATTTCAAAGATAGGAGGATGAAAAAATGTTGTAATCACCTGATTTTTTTAAATTTCTTTTGGATCGTTTCTCTTCCAATAATATTTATATTAATCGTAGTTTTGAGGATGTCAGGGTTTTTCGAGAAGAAACTTCAATTACTAATTCAATTCTCACAAATTTTATAATAGTGGCACACGGAGACCTTAAACAAGTGTTGCTAAAAAATATATTAAAAAAGAAACATGACTAACTGATTATTAATCATTATAAATTTATCAGAATTTGTGTGAATGAAATTGAAGGATTAGAATTACATTCATGTTATACTCAATTATTTATTTTTTTAAATGACACCATATAAAGGCCAAATTTACCTCTAGTGATTGCTAGATGTTTCTTCTGCAGTTAAAAGCAATTTTTCTCTTGATTTAATTTTTTTTTTAACTTATCTACTTTTTATTAATTTTTAGGGGGAGGATATTTCCGTACATGACAGAAGGACACTTTCAAAATTTCCAAGGTTATGCGAATCTTTTTCCGTTGTGGACTCTAACGGGAAATGCTTGGGGTTAAGTCAGAAGACGAAAAGTCTGTATTTCGATTCCCATGATAAGCTAGCTACGCAGAAACCCGTAGCCTCTCAGGTGGATTCTTATCTCGTTTTAAAGAACTCGATAACATTGGAGAGTGAGCAATATTGTGAATCAAAAAACTTTCAAGATGACACACATTTGGGAAAACAATCGAAGCAAGATAATGGGAAATTAGGGTCATTTTGGCTCTATTTCACCCGACATCAAGGTTTGATTAATGAATTGCATAGCAGCTTGTTAAGCCTTGGTGACGGTCAACTTTGTAAAAGTAAAAATGGTAATTATTTTTATTTAAGTTTATATTTGGTTCAATTCTGCTAATATTACTCATTTTGAAACATTCATTTTTCATTTGTTTTTTTTGTTTATATAAGATCATTTATAACAGAGTAGATCTTTAACATTTAGATAATTATAGGAGCATTTTTTTAATTTTCAAAAACCTTCGCCGGAATAGTATTCCTTGTATAGTGCCTCCTAACTCGTTTGATAATTACTATATTTTTAGCCGTTTAAGCCAATTTTTAGCCGAAGACTATCACTTTAGCCATGGGGGTTTTCTTAGAAATATAGCAGCTCGAAAGAAACTAATATAAATTAAATCGCCTAGATATTAACGGATATAGATTGAGGTGAATTAGCCGACATTTTGCTATTATCCCACATACTCCTAACCTAAAAATTTCAGACAATTTGAATGGAGGTAAGGGAGGGTATATACTTAGTAATAAAAAATTCAAGGAAAAATCGAATTAAATTATGAATAATTCAAAATTTGCTTAAATTTTATCCATACATATACATGGTGAAATAACAATTCTGGCCAAAACCAATCCTTTATACTTCAAAAAGATGCGCGATATGAATGATTTAAATTTTAAAGAAAAGATTCCTCCATGTTCTATTGCTATGCCGGATCGCATTTATCTTTTTAATAACCTACGACACATATATACTTTTTTTTCTCATACTATTATTATAATTTTATGAATTTGCGCATTCCTTATATTTGCCACTATATAAAATTGTTATTTTAGGTTTCGAAAATTCTAAAGATTACCGAACAGTATCTAATCATGTGCGTAAAAGCATAGAAGCTCATTCCACGCTTGTTTGCATTGCTAAAGAATCGAGTAGGATTCTGCTATTGGCTCCTAGGGGTAATTTTGAAGTGGTGTATTCGAAGTCTTTATTAATCGATGAAATAGAGTGCCTGCTTGGTAAAAAAATATATATATAATATGATATGATATATATGCCTTTGATTTTTGTAAATTTATTATTAGCGATAGTTTTGTTAATCTAAATCATACAAAAAAAAAATTTTTGAATTTGACATAGAGAGAAGTTTAATCTTAAATATCAAATAAATTTCAACCCATTATCCTTAGAGCTTAAACCACTTTATAAGTCGGGTGCAGTACATATTTCATTAGGGTACGATGTGGGAATTCAGTTTATGGAGTAAAATGAAAGTAAATTAAAATGAACGTAAATTAAATTGAAAGTAAATTAAAATGAAAGTAAATTAAAATGAAAGTAAAATTAAAATGAAATTAAATTGGAACTTAAAGTTTATATATAATTAAATCGAACGTAAAGTATATATATATATTCTTTACCTTTATTAATTATATATTTTCTTTGTCTCTTCACTAATTTATGAATCTTTATTAATTATATATTTTCTTTGTTTCTTCACTAATTTATGAATTTTTATTAATTATATATTTTCTTTGTTTCTTCAATAATTTATGCATCATAAAATTTTCTTCTTTTTAAACAAAAATAAAATAATGAATCTCCTTTTCTTTTGTTGCCACTGTATTTTTCTTTTTCCACAAAAATAAACAAAATATATGGATGGCTAACAACACGTTCTTAATATATATATATTATAATCATTTAAAATACAATGAATTTTTATCATTCTAATACAACAATATATATATATTAATTATAATCATTTAAAATATAATGAATCTTTATCATTCTAATACAACACGTCCACCCTATTAAGGTTTAGTGTATATAATCTCCTTCAATCTTCATCTTCTAATAATGTCATTTCTTCCATATGACTCAGGATATATCCAATCCCCAATTCATCTTTCATTTCACCCAATAATTCATCTTCTTCCTTCTTCTGTAGCCATATATCCTTATCTTGAGTCATACCAGGTAATGCCTTTTTCTCCGATCTTATATTCACCTTATTGGAAATTTCTGGACATTTATCCTTGACACCTAAAGGATACCTTTCAAATTGAAACTTCTTAGAATATGCTACTGTTTTAATTCCTTCGATTCCTAAATCTTTTCCCTTGACACTGAATCTTTAAATGTCCCCACTTTCTACAACGAAAACATTGACGCATCCGTCTTATATCAAATCTATTCGACAACATACATTCTTCTTCTTTTTCATCTTCCAACAGTTTCTCCCACTTTATCCTCGTGTTTCCATTCATTTGTTGCCTCCATTTATCCTCCTACTTTATCGACAATAGATAATAATTAATTGGTAATATCACATTTTTCATGATATGTGTCTTAAAATGCAGGTGTGATACGTTTGCCATCAAATCTTTAAAAAATGCAAAAATAAATATATACCTCTTCCCCCTCCCAGCTCTATGTATAAATTATTCTATACTTATTTTTGGGTTGTTGTAAATTAGCTATATTCTTTAAATTTTTATCTAGAGGTCTTACTTCCAAACCGTTTATGGTATGACCCAAATAAACTATTTCAGTTACTCCTAAGACACTTTTCTCTCTACTGGCCTTTAAACCCTTCTCAAATATTCTCCTAAAACCTCTTCTAACCTCTGATTATGTTGTTCTGGTGTTACACCCGTAATCAATACATCATCCATATTATAGAAAATCCCTTCTAAACCTTGAAAATCAGATGCCATTGTGTTGAAATATTGGAGCTGATACGCTGTGACCAAAAGCAATCGACAAAACGCAAATAAACCCTTAGATGTGATAATTGTAAATAATTTATGTATATCTTCCCTAAGAGATAATTGTAAATATGCTGTGGAAAAATCAATTTTAGAGAAATATTTACTTCCCTTTAAATTAGCTAAAATTTCTTCAATTCAAGGTAATGGATATTTAACTTCCACAACCCACGGATTGAGAGTGACCCGAAAGTCAGCGCAAAGCCTTAACTTTCCAAAGAATTAAAACAGTAGTATATTCTAAGAAGTTTCAATTTGAAAGGTATCCTTTAGGTGTCAAGGATAAATGTCCAGAAATTTCCAATAAGGTGAATATAAGATCGGAGAAAAAGGCATTACCTGGTATGACTCAAGATAAGGATATATGGCTACAGAAGAAGGAAGAAGTTGTGGGTGAAATGAAAGATGAATTGGGGATTGGATATATCCTGAGTCATATGGAAGAAATGACATTATTAGAAGATGAAGATTGAAGGAGATTATATACACTAAGCCTTAATAGGGTGGACGTGTTGTATTAGAATGATAAAGATTCATTATATTTTAAATGATTATAATTAATATATATATATTGTTGTATTAGAATGATAAAAATTCATTGTATTTTAAATGATTATAATATATATATATTACGAACCTGTTGTTAGCCATGTATTTTGTTTATTTTTGTGGGAAAATAAAAATACAGTGGCAACAAAAGAAAAGGAGATTCATTATTTTATTTTTGTTTAAAAAGAAGAAAATTTTATGATGCATAAATTATTGAAGAGACAAAGAAAATATATAATTAATAAAGATTCATAAATTAGTGAAGAAACAAAGAAAATATAAAATTAATAAAGATTCATAAATTAGTGAAGAAACAAAGAAAATATATAATTAATAAAGATTCATAAATTAGGGAAGAGACAAAGAAAAAATATAATTAATAAAGGTAAAGAATATATATATATATAAACTTTAAGTTCCAATTTACTTTCATTTTAATTTACGTTCATGTTAATTTACTTTCATTTTAATTTAATTTCAATTTAATTTACTTTCATTTTAATTTACTTTCATTTTAATATGGAGGAATTTTTAAAATTAAATTTATTTCATTTATATCGCACATTTATTCTAATCTTGAAAGGCTTGATGTTACAGGAATCGTATTTCATTCAAAATTTAAATAAAACGTGCCTTATAATAAATTTTGAAGATTTTTCCCGTAACTCCTAGTGCAATGGTAAGTCACACAAAATATTTCCTATACTCGACGTATTAATTAATTTTATTTACAGCTAAATTTCCGGTCCCCCTCTTTCGCCAAGCCTTCGAACGCGCAAAAAAACACCGATTACCATATGATCTCCTATTAACCTCCATACTCACTAAATACGAAGGTCACTATAGAAACACGACAGATATCGAACATCGCCATTTAAACCATCTAAAAAATATGGTAACTGGTATAGGTGGCGCTGAAGGGAAAAACGATAACGATTTGAGCCTGCTTTTGGCTAATCTCACATTCCAAAAATTACCCAATTCACGCTTTCATGGCGATCATCCCGCCCACGTTAACATGGATGATTATAAAAACGAGTTTTATTCTTCGGTGATTGACGTTATTACCCAAAGGAGGGAAGCGATATCTCGTGATTCGAATTTGAATGAGACGAAATGGACGACAATTCCTCCATATTTTCTATCGTTCCTGACCTCTTGCGCTAAAAAACAACCGCCAGATTTTAAAACCCCTCTTAAATACTTGAATAAATTTTCATCTTTGGACAGTGTTTCTAGCAGTAATGAACTAATAAAAATGTATTTAACAAATTTAAACCTTCCTGATCCCCCCCCCTCATAACTCCTCCCCGACATATTGAAGATATATTTTTTATAAGGGGCTTTTGGAAAAAAATTCAATATCCCTACCTTTCATCAATTTATTAAAGTAAATTTTTTACAGGTCTAAATCTTTCTTCCAAAGGAGTATCTCACTTACTATACTTTACGGACCCTGACACATTGTACAAATTGGCTCTTGCAACTTATGACCCCTGTCTTCCCACCTTAGTTTCGAAATACTTAGCCATCATTAATCCAGATAACACTCGGTTCAAGCCAACAAATTTTAGTTCGGAAGATCAAGAAGGAAATCCTTACAATCCCGAAACATTGAATGAACGCGGAGAATCGAAAGCGTCTAATATCGTTGACAATGCTTTTTACCGTAACAGCGTGATTGACACAACCTTGGAAAGAAAGGAAAGAGCCTTGGCTAACGTTATGCTTTCTGCTTTATATCGATTAGCCAAAATTTATCAAAAATATTTTGCCGAACAAATCGAAACATTAAATTTTAACAATATAGATACTGATTTCTTTTACGAAAATCCTATAAATTCCTTGACCCTCCTAACTCCCGGCTCGGAATCAATTTTCGACATTTTGTTGGCTGAACAAGCAGAAAATGACCCTGAACCAGTAAAATTTGTGACGAAATTTGTTCTAGACAACTTTAGTAGCCAATTTTTATCAAGGAAGTTGGGCGTTAAGGAAGTTTTGAGAATTTTTTTCTGGGAAAAACTTTGTTCTTTGGCGGTGTTAAGCGAGAAACCTAAGCTCAATCAAGCTCAAATACTCCATTATTCGCTTTGTTCATTGGTTACTTTTAAAGATCCCACCACTAACGCCAAAATAATCGGTTTAGAAAAAACGATCAGTGGACGAGACGAAAATGTTCATCTTAAAATTTCCGCAAGAAAATTGGCCGAGAATCTTCTTTACAAGAGCGGGGATTGGTTTGGAGCCGAATGCTTAGCGATATCCTCTCATTGTGGCAAATTTCAAAAAAACTCTAATCATGAAGGTTATTTTTTTTAATGTAAAAATATATATATTAAAATAATTTCTATCTGACAATTTAGTGATAAAATAATCAGAAGCGATTAAGTGAGAAAATTTATTTTACCGAAAAAAAGTAACAATATATTTATGAATTGAAGGCATTTAAATTAGGTAAATCATAATTTTTTAAGAGATAAATTAATGGGGTAGAATGGCAAAAAAATATTTGAGTTTTTTAAAATATATTCTATCCCCCCCCCCCCTCTTTCTTTAAAAATTAATTAATATTTATTTATCAGATATGAAACTCATAATTGACTCTTATCTGCAAAACAAACGGGACACCGAGGGATTGTTAAAACTCTGCGATATACTTTTATTGAAATTCCGTTCGCCCTTGAAATGTTTAAACCTTCTAGCACCATCTCTGTCATCTACCATGGAAGAAAAACGCGAATTTACTTACGAGATAGGTATTTGGAACAAAATCTTTTGGCTAATATTAGCCCTTAGATCCATCAGCCCTACATACGAAAAACGTTACGATCATTTAAATACTGGTAGCGATAATACGGAAGAAGAACGCGATGGGACTTTGTTTTCTTATAGGAAGTATTTGAACATTCTCTGCGATGCCGTTATAAATAGATGTACCTCTCAGAAAGATCTAACTCATAAAATATTTAAGTCATCGAACCAGCATGTGCCATCTTTACCTGACGAGATATCGGCGTTAGAAAAACGTTTTAAGTAAATCTAGATTGTTTAGTTATTGTTAAATTAAATGGTAAAAGGAGGGGGGGGGGTGTTTACGTTAAATATATTATCATTTTAGAATCATTAGTGTAAAGACACATATGATAGAAGTCAGCACCCGAATTAACCCATGGGAATGGCCCTTAATTTTTTTTAGGAAATAGACATAAAAATTTCTAATTTTAAGCTTTAGAATTTTTTTAGGAAGTTTCTGCCATCATGAATATTACACCAACACCAAATTACGACAGTGGTTGGATCACTCGGGCATACATTTCTACCACACTCGGGGGTATTGTATGGCCCAAGATAAGCGTTGAAATTGAAAGGGGGACAGTCACTTTTTTAAGCTAATTTTTATATCCTATTTCTTATTTATTTTGGTTTGTTTCTTTCATTTTTTTAATTGGACGAGGGGATTAAAATTGCCTGCACGTTGTAAATCATTTGTAGATCTTTAAAACTGATTCAAATACATCTATTTAAATTTTTATCATTATATCCATTACTTCACGCTTTCTCCCGGCATAACTCGTTAGAACCCTACTTCAACGCCTCAAAATCGTGATGGGAAACAAATTGTTATCCATTCCCGTGTTGGAAAATAATAAAGATGACATGTCTACGCCGTTTGACGACCTTTCTTCCACCACATCTTCCACTATATCAACAATGAGTAGTAACTCTAAGAATTCGAAGATGGGTTTGAAATTTTTTTAAAATATATCAGAAAAACTATATAAAAGGGTAAAAAATGATTGAAAAAAAACTCTTGCATTAAGAAAGAAAGAAATTTCCCAAAATTTAAACGATTTAATGTTATTTTCCTTACCATTCTTGTGAATCTAAATTTAAACTTAACATCTTTAGTTTGAATTCTTTTCTTTTGATCATTCGGGTTTAATTGTTGTAAAATAGCTTATTTAGCTAAAATAAGATTTTTCTTAAGCATTCCACTTTGGGTAAAAAAAAAGAATAAAATATAAAAATTAGCTTATAGTAGCATTTTTTTTTTAAAAAAAAGGATTCACATTTTCATTTAACGTGAAATATGTATTATATTTTCATACTATAAATATTGGAGACCTGCAGGTCCCGGGTCGGGGATATAAAAATTTTCTTTAAATACCCGGGCTCTATTTTAAAACAAAATATTTCAAATCACCATTATTATATAAAAATAAAAATTTATTGAATATGTTTTAAAAATATCCGAGCCTGGCAATGCAATCGGTACACCTGCAGATCTCTTATAAATATTAATATTGCTTAATTTATAAATGTAAAGGCTTTGTAAGTAAGGAATTCAGCAACAAAACCTTTGATAATAAACCTATGTGGGAAATGTTGGAAGAAAGTGGCGGTATGATTAAGCCCCCTTCTAAATATTCGACGGCATCCTCTGTCAAATCATCCCAACAAAAAGTTTGTTTATTTATTAGCTAATTATTTTAAATTTGGGCCATTCCATGCCAAATCGATCAAAAAAGGTCCATTTTCGACCGACCCCTTTTAAAATTGTTAAAAATTTCTGGAATTATTTAGAAGGGGAAATAAAAGAGAAAGCCGTTTATTTTAGCTCGCTAACCTGGTTCTTGAGATATAGGGGCCTATAGGTACAAAAAGGAGCCAATTTGGAATCTGGAAAATTTTTAAAATGCTTATATCTCAAGAACTATTTATAGTAAAAAATAATATAATATATCATATTGTAGGTAAAAAAATCTCTAAAGGACTATCAAAATAAAATATAAATTGGAGCCTATTTGAGTCTTTAACTTCCGGTTTACCTATAATGCTTTACCTGTATTTTTAAGCAAAAAAGGGAGTTTGTTTTCGAAATTTTTTAATTGCTTTTTATTTAGACACCTTTTATAAATATATACATGATGTCAAAACCTTGGCGACGCTATCGACTCTTCCAAAATATACATTTTTATCAAAAATCGTATAAAAAATAGATGGCGCTAATGTTTAAAAAAATATTATTTTTAAAAGCGATAAAATTTTCCAGTTCTGCTCCCCCCTCCCCCCACCATCCTTAATTTTTTTTTTACATATTTTAGATCTCTGCTTTACTACTATAATAGCGAATGACTTTTTGGTACGATAATGTATAACAGCTGCATTAAAAAAGAATTTATATTGGACATATAATCGACTATATTTTACGATAATTTTTTTAAAAAATTAAAAGTTTAAAACAATCTCTCTTTCTGTTTAATATAATTTTTTTCCCATTCAGATTAATTTTAAACAAGCCATATTCTAGGTTCAAATTAAATAAAATTTTATTCTATATAAAAGATGGATATACCAAATATTAAAATATCAAGATGTTGTAACCCATTAATTTACAAAAACATGCATAATATCGCAAGAATCTAAGAAAGATTCAACCTTGGGTGACCAAAAAAAATTTACCAATTAATTTAAATATGCTAATATGCTCTTCATGCCGACAAAAATTAGCAAAGCTTCCTTATAATGACGATGATATTGATTCTCCTCCTCATATAGTTAATCAAGAGGCAATTGAAAACATTAATATATCCCTACAATCAATCGGGGAATCTCCCATTAAAATAAAACGCTTACGTGAAAAGAAATATCCAAAGAAAAAAATATCTAGCGTGAAAAAAGTTTTAGCGACTAAATATCTTCATCAAATGATGAAAAATTCGATGAAATTCTCGATACCTTAAAAATCAATTTCCCACAGCTTTCGAAAACAAACAAATATAGATTAACATTATTACCATCAAATTGGCCAGTAAGAAGAATTATAGAAGAATTCAATATTTCATATCATATGGCGATAAAATCTAAAGGTTTAATAAAAGAAAAGGGGTTTTTTCAGCACCTAATCCTAAACCCGACAAAACAATAGATGCCGCCACCGTTGATATTGTCAAATCTTTTTATAACAATGATCAATATAGTAGATCGATGCCTGGGAAAAGGGATTTTGTAACCATAATAAAGAACAGTGAAAAGATTCAAGTCTAGAAAAGATTAATTTACGAGAGCTATATCTTAAATTTAAAGATATTCATTCAAATATTAAAATTGGATTCTCTAAATATTGTGATCTTCGTCCCGAGAATTGTGTATTTGTTGGCAGTAGTGGTACCCATTCAATGTGTGTTTTCTCCAATCATCAAAACACAAAATTAATACTGTTGAGTTTGCCCAAAATTACTTTAAATGAAGATTTAATTAAGATTACATATAAGGATATATTACCAAAAATAATTTGTAATCCAGCATTACCAAAATGTTTTTTTGGTGATTGTGCTCAATGCCCTGGATCTTCTAATTTAAAGGCCATGATAAGTGAAATATTATATTCAATTGATATCGAATATATTACCTACAAGCAATGGGTTACAACAGATCGTAGAGATCTTTTAACTATCACTTCATCAACCTTTAATTTTTTTAGAAACGCTTTTCGAAAAGCTAAATATTTTACTATTACACTCATTCATAACAAAGCATCAAATAATATTCATGAATTCTCTTAAAATTAATTTAAAGGAAGGAGAATATATCGTTTAGGCAGATTTTGCTGAAAATTATGCCTTTGTGGTTTAAGATGAAGTACAGGGGTTTCACTGGAATAAATCTCAAGTTACCATTCATCCTTTTGTCATTTATTACAAGTCACTTAATAATTTAAATCATTTAAGTTTCGTAATAATATCTGAATCTCTCGTTCATAATACAATTGCGGTTCATCTATTCCAAAAATATTTAGTTCAATACTTAACAAAGATATTTCAATGCCTGCCAAAAAAATTCTTCTATTTTTCAGATGGTATTGTAGGTAAAAAAAATCTCTAAAAGGCTATCAAAAAATAATAAAAATTAGCGCCAATTTGAATCTTTAACTTCCGGTTTATCTATAATGCTTTACCTGTATTTTTAAGCAAAAAAAGGAGTTTATTTTCGAAATTTTTTTATTGCTTTTTATTTAGACACCTTTTATAAATATATATACGATGTCAAAACTTTGGCGACGCTATCGACTCCAAAAATTTAAAAAAATAATAGATGGCGCTATATGAAATTACGGATTTTGGTTTAAATTTTGCTGCAAACTTATCAATAAACGGATATTTTCACTTTTTATACTAAAAATATTTTAAATTTCGATTAAATATACTAAATAAATTGAGGGGCAGTGTGGGTAAATGCCCATTAGACACTTAATAATGTAATATATTTCCAATAATAAAATCTTTCGTATAATTTTTTTATTATTCATTCATATTAATAATATAGAAATAGAGATAGACAATCATATTCATTCCATAATTTAAAATTTGTGAAATGTTATATTTAATATTTGCGATTGTGTTGAATTAGAATAAAATTTTGTTTCAATTTTATTCTGAGAAATTGGATAAGCATGAAATTTTTGCATCCCTGGTATAGTACGGGCTTTGTCGAATCTCTCTTTTAATTTGTTCTTTCTCATATTCATCTTCCATAATATAGGAGAACTCTATTCCTTAATAAAAAAATTATAATATATATATTAATAAATTATAAATCATATACCTTTTATATTTTCCTTATAATAGGCAAAAAACTCTTTAGGAGAAGTTATTTGTTCTGAAGTAGGTCTTTGTAAACTTGCTCTAGCCACTAAACGCTTGACGGTACCTCCGATCCCGTCACAAGCTGATTTGCCATGAGATGTAGCCCATAAATGCCACTCAGATTTTATCTCGAAATCATATTCATGGTGGCAAAAATTGATTAAATTTTTCCGATTTTTATATTGAGCTGCTGCTCCATCTGAAAAATAGAAGAATTTTTTTGGCAGGCATTGAAATTTCTTTGTTAAGTATTGAACTAAATATTTTTGGAATATATGAACCGCAATTGTATTATGAACGAGAGATTCAGATATTATTACGAAACTTAAATGATTTAAATTATTAAGTGACTTGTAATAAATGACAAAAGGATGAATGGTAACTTGAGATTTATTCCAGTGAAACCCCTGTACTTCATCTTGAACCACAAAGGCATAATTTTAAAATCTGCCTGCAAGATATATTCTCCTTCCTTTAAATTAATTTGAAGAGAATTCATGAATATTGTTTGCTGCTTTGTTATGAATGAGTGTAATAGTAAAATATTTAGCTTTTCGAAAAGCATTTCTAAAAAATTAAAGGTTGATGAAGTGATAGTTAAAAGATATCTACGATCTGTTGTTACCCATTGCTTGTAGGTAATATATTCGATATCAATTGAATATAATATTTCACTTATCATGGCCTTTAAATTAGAAGATCCAGGGCATTGAGCACAATCACCAAAAAAACATTTTGGTAATGCTGGATTACAAATTATTTTTGGTAATATATCCTTATATGTAATCTTAATTAAATCTTCATTTAAAGTAATTTTGGGCAAACTCAACAGCATTAATTTTGTGTTTTGATGAATGGAGCAAACACTATTGAATGGGTACCACTACTGCCAACAAATACACAATTCTCGGGACGAAGATCACAAAATTTAGAGAATCCAATTTTAATATTTGAATGAATATCTATAAATTTAAGATATAGCTCTCGTAAATTAATTAAAATTAATCTTTTTTGGACTTGAATCTTTTCACTGTTCTTTATTATGGTTACAAAATCCCTTTTCCCAGGCATCGATCTACTATATTGATCATTGTTATAAAAAGATTTGACATTATCAACGGTGGCGGTATCTATTGTTTTGCCGGGTTTAGGATTAGGTGTTGAAAAAAACCCCTTTTCTTTTATTAAACCTTTAGATTTTATCGCCATATGATATGAAATATTGAATTCTTCTATAATTCTTCTTACTGGCCAATTTGATGGTAATAATGTTAATCTATATTTGTTTGTTTTCGAAAGCTGTGGGAAATTGATTTTTAAGGTATCGAGAATTTCATCGAATTTTTCATCATTTGATGAAGATAATGGTATAATTTTAGTCGCTAAAACTTTTTTCACGCTAGATAATTTTTTTCTTTGGATATTTCTTTTCACGTAAGCGTTTTATTTTAATGGGAGATTCCCCAATTGATTGTAGGGATATATTAATGTTATCAATTGCCTCTTGATTAACTATATGAGGAGGAGAATCAATATCATTGTCATTATAAGGAAGCTTTGCTAATTTTTGTCGGCATGAAGAGCATATTTAAATTGATTGGTAAATTTTTTTTGGTCACCCAAGGTTGAATCTTTCTTAGATTCTTGCGATAATATGCATGTTTTTGTAAATTAAATGGGTTACAACATCTTGATATTTTAATATTTGGTATATCCATCTTTTATATAGAATAAAATTTTATTTAATTTGAACCTAGAATATGGCTTGTTTAAAATTAATCTGATCGGAAAAAAAATTATATTAAACAGAAAGAGAGATTGTTTTAAACTTTTAATTTTTTAAAATATTATTATCGTAAAATATAGTCGATAATATGTCCAATATAAATTCTTTTTTAATGCAGCTGTTATACATTATCGTACCAAAAAGTCATTCGCTATTATAGTAGTAAAGCAGAGATCTAAAATATGTAAAAAAAAATTAAGGATGGTGGGGGGGGGGGGGGAGCAGAACTGGAAAATTTTATCGCTTTTAGAAATAATATTTTTTTAAACATTAGTGCCATCTATTTTTTATACGATTTTTGATAAAAATGTATATTTTGGAAGAGTCGATAGCGTCGCCAAGGTTTTGACATCATACATATATTTATAAAAGGTGTCTAAATAAAAAACAATAATAAAATTTCGAAAACAAACTCCCTTTTTTGCTTAAAAATACAGGTAAAGCATTATAGGTAAACCGGAAGTTAAAGACTCAAATAGGCTCCAATTTATATTTTATTTTGATAGTCCTTTAGAGATTTTTTTACCTACAATATGATATATTATATTATTTTTTACTATAAATAGTTCTTGAGATATAAGCATTTTAAAAAATTTACAGATTCCAAATTGGCTCTTTTTTGTACCTATAGCCCCTATATCTCAAGAACCAGGTGTGCTAGCGAGCTAAAATAAACGGCTTTCTCTTTTATTTCCCCTTCTAAATAATTCCAGAAATTTTTAACAATTTTAAAAGGGGTCGGTCGAAAATGGGCCTTTTTTAATCGATTTGACATGGAATGGCCCATCTTTTTTTTTACAAAACCATTATTTATGCCTTTAAAAATTTTTTATTAAACTTATAAATACATAATATATTTTTGTTTTATCTCAATGATTTAAATATTTTCGATATAACTTTGAGTTATAAAAAAAAATATCTCTTTTGCCCTTAGTGACAATCAGCAATTTAGTTAATAGCCTGAGAGTGCGGTGGAAAACAATGCAAATGGTTCCCATTTTAAAACATTCAAATTAAATTATTAAGCTTCGATATTTTAATCATTTATTAAGTTAGCCTTAAATTTAAGAAATTTTAAGGATTTAATATTAAATAATAAAAAATTATAAAAAGAGTTTAGAAATTAAAACAAAATTGCCTTTAATACTATATAAGAGTATTTTTACATGCAAAAATATCAGGAAGCCTATTTGAAAAAAAGGTATCAAATTTTTATTTAGCTAATATGTAATAAACTTGTTTTTAAAACTATATATCTGCTAAAATATGCGTTTTTGCCTCCAAAAAAAATGTTTATATATCTTAAAAATCATTCAAATAAAAATGTATGAAACTTTAGAAACTTAATTGAACATAAAATAGGTCATTACGAAAACCTGATGAAAATATGATAGGTTTTTTGCAGCAACAATTTGAAAATATATGTATTGCTGATGTGCGTTTTTGCCTCCAAAAATGTTTATATATAAATCATTCAAATAAGAATGGACGAAACTTTGAAGAAATATGGCTGAACATGAAATAGGCCATTTAAGAAATCAGATGAAAATATAGGAATTTTATAATCGCAATTTAAATATATATCAGAGACATGCAGATGTACCATTCACGGCCCAGCCCGGATTTTTTAAAATATATTACATTTTTAATTTTTGTAGCTAATTATGGTGATTTAAAATATTCGTTTTTAAAATATTCAGTCCGGCTGGGTATTTTTTTTAAATAATTTTTCCCTACTCAGGTCCGGCCCGTATACCCTGGATTAGAGTCGGGCCTGCAGGTCTCTGATATATACCACTTAAAAAAATAATCTTATATATGATTTTTAAAAAAAAAAATAGAAATCAACCTCCCATATAGCTATCACATCATATAACATACCAAAGTTCGTCAAAAGAGCAACACTTCAGCCAGATTCAGCATTCGAGCATGTAGCTCTTGTTCGCGAACTTTTAAGAATAAGTTCACTCTTTAGAAACAGAATCAAAGATCAGAGTTCTCTGTTTCATATGGAAATAAACGAGCTAGCTAGAACGATTAAGCTAATCATTGAAGTCACGGACTATTGTTACATTGGCGATGAGAACGATGGAAACCCCATAGAAGATCATAAGCCGCTCCATAAAGAACCAAGCTTATTAAAAGATTCGGAATTAAACACATTAACTCGACCATCGCTTAAATCATTGAATATTAGGCATTCATATAGCGATCAAAAAGCCTGCCATCTTAATAGTAGTTTGACAAATTTGGGTAAAACACACCTCGATGCACAGCTAGGAGTCATAACTAATGGTTTCCAAAATAATTTATGGTACATTCTAACCCTAGATGGCGCCTTGGACTTGGATAAAAAGGATGCGCGAATTAATGATAATCAACAAATAAGCATTTATGACCCCATTTTACGATTGTTGAATTTTGTAAAAGCATCTGACATTATAAATGATGATCAAAATTTAATATTTCCTGACTCGAATATTACAAAAAGCGGTTTTCGAAAACGTACAATACACGATCACGTGAAAACTAATCGTTTAGATAATTATGATATAGGAAATGACAATAGATTAAATTATTCGGCTTTCGATAAAGCTAGACAGCAAATGCTCTATATATTTAAAACAGAATATTTGGAATTATGGTCACAAAAAATGCAATAAAAAAATTTTTTTTGAAATTAATTATTTTTTTGATTGAATATTTTGATCCCAAAAATAATTTTAAAAAAATCAAAATTTCTGGTGATAAAGAATTTTCAAAAACAAATAATATATTAATAAATTAGCCCTTAAAAGAAATTTTATAAAAATTTGATAATTTTATATTAAACAAGTTGAAACGCCTTTCAACGCTCATTTCTACAAACAATTTTGAAGAGTAATATCGAAGCGCGCATGCGCTCTAATACACACCGCATGATATTTAGTTATCAAAAATAAATAGTAAATAATACTGAAGAAAAAAAAACTAAAATAAAACATATCTATTGACTTGAAATATTATTATTATTTTGCAATGATTTGGTCAAAAATATGTGCAGGCTAATTAAAATAAATATCTAACATTGTTTAATTTTATCAATATTTTTGAGATTTGTTTACAAGTAAAGCATTTTTATTTACAAAAAAAACTAAAAAAGTAATCATATTCTTATTTCATTTGAGATAAGTTTTTTTAAAAACAATGTAATATAGAAAAAATAATTTATATGTCCTTCATTGTGGTAATAATATAATTTGTTTTATAAATTAAAATGGATTAGATTTTTAAGGTTCTTTTTCGGCATCACCAGAATCTTCTGCTTTTGGTTTGGCTTGATTGGCATCTGGCACCCATAATCCCGAATCAACGCATAATTTCATAAGTCGTTCGGCTTCGGCCCTTTCGATGGTAGGAAGAAATTTTTTTAGCAACTGTGTATCCTGTTTTTCGAAACATTCTTGCATTTCCTTAAAAAATAATTTGTATTTTTTTTTAAATGTATTAAACAAACCCTAAAAATAAATTATCATGTAATTAAGTTAAAGATTCAGTAAATAACTTTTTTTTAAAAAATTCCTCGTAATAATATTAATCTCAATTTTACAGCTAACGATGTGTCCTCGAATTGAATATAGAAAAAATATATAATTTTCCAATATTTTATTTCAAAAAATGTTTCAAAATTTTATTAAAATTATAAGCATGTTTATTTTTAAATTCTGTTTTTTTTAATATCCATTCTTCCAAAAAATTCTTATAAAAATAAGTGAGTCATAAATAAAATAGGATTAATTACGCGATTATTTTTAAAAAATCATCAGATCAGTTTTTAAATACTTGGGCTAATCTAATTTTTCTTCGAAATCACATATCGGTGTCGATCCGATATATTGGACGACCCTAGTCTGCAATCTATTAAAGCCAAGCGAATTATATTCTAATTTATTACAATTGACAACTATAATTTTCAGGAACGCTTCAAAAATCAAGAAATAATCTTTTTTGGTTGGATCGAACATGAAACACCGAAATGTGTTAAACTTATTTATTTTTGTTTATTAAACCTTGGGTAACTGCTCCATTACTTCTACCGGATCAAGCCCACCAGGTCCCAAACGCTTTTGTCTTTCTTCCTAATAAAATTGATATAAAATATAAACTATAAAGTATCATTACCACTTCAATAAAACCTAACTCAACAAGATCTGCAGAGGTACTATTTGCATGACCCGACCCAGGTTTATAAATAAAAAAAATCGCCCCAGGTTTGCCAATATGAAACCATCTAATGATTTTTAAATTATATTCTAAAATTAAAATATTTTTCATTTGATAACAAGTTCATTTTTTTTTATTTTTGTAATTTTGAATGTTCAATAGACCAAAAAGAAACATAACAATTAGTTTCCTAAAAAAATAATTTTATTAACCTAGTTCAGTAGAGGATTTAAGGGCAAATTAAAATTATAACGACTAGTAAACTAGAATGAATAACTAAATTAAGTTTTTTTCTAAAAAAAAAGACATATTATCGTGTGCAGTATTATAAACCTCTTCCAATTCTTTTATAGCCTTTTCTATCCTAATTCTAGCTCGATCTTTGACTCTTTGCTTGAAGGCTTCTAATTCATCGTTAAAGGTATCCATGTATTCTTTATCAGCCAACTTTATCCTAATTTTTATTTACATGTTTTTTTTGTTAGATTCTATCGCAGTTTATCAAACTCTTATAAATTATCATAAGCAAAGATTAGTGCAGAGCAAACTGATCCAATTCCCCCCTTCCCATATCCTTTCTCTATTTGCATCTTTTTAAAAAAAATATAGAATATATCGATCTTATTGGACCAGGTGAAAAGATAAATCTTCACAATTTAAGCAATTTATATCGTAAACAATTATTTATATATTAATAATATATATTTAAGGAAATATTTAAATAAATTCCAACTTGGTAAAGAAGGAACTCACAACCGCTTTTGGGTTGACCTCTAACTTCTTGGCCAGCTCAAGCAAATATTGCATGGTAATGGTTTGATGAGCAACGTGCGCCATCAATTCGTGTTTCTTTTTTTTTGAAAATTAAATAATATTTTTGAATTTTAAACAATGATTTGTTTATTACTCATATGCTTTCCTAGATTACGCAATTTAATTCGAGGTAAATATATAGTTTAAAAAAAAAAAATAAACAATTATTCCAAGGAGATGCCTTTAAAAGCAATTATAATTTTTTCTGGATTCACGCAATTTTAACGTTTACGAATGATATAGACCACAATAGAAGGCAATTATTTATTTCTTTTTATGAAAAATGAATCGTATCCTTTTTTAAAATGCAATTTCTTTTCAACCATGTTTATAGCTTTAAGTCGACACTTCAGTCAATATGTTTTTAAAGAACTATAAATAATTATTGCAAGAATTCATTATGAGAATAATTGCAAGAAAAAAAAAGCAAATCCTTATGTTATTTCTAATTTTCCATTTTAAAGGATAAGTTTTTACATTTAATTAAACAACTATTGAAGATATTTTTAGTGCTCCCCCTCTTATTATTCTTATCTTGGTTATAAAGTTTTGTTGGCTTCTATGCAAAAAGAAACAGGCACGACTCGATAATTACGTTAGTTCTTATCATTACGGGTCGTTGATCAAGGAGATAAATGGATTATTTTCATTTGAAAATTTTATTATTATATGCTGTGTTAATGTCAATCCTAAAATTATTCTGTTTTTTTTTGGTATAATAAATTATAAAAAAAATCATTTCACTAATTGTTAAAATAATAGGATATATAATGAAATATCTATAATAATTTCTACCCTGTTTAATAAAATATTGATTCTATTTGTTTAAACAGTTAAGATTCGGATGCAGTTTGTATATTATTAATTTTGGTTTATATATATATAATTAATTCAAGCTGACACTAGAAAATATTTTTAATTTACTTCTTCAACTTCTAGATCTATGCACCAAATGACAAAAAAATTGGATGTTTCTTCACAAACTAGCTCTGGATGTTCTGTTAGGTAAGCTTTAGTGTCATCCCATCTGTGCAGCAAACCCAACGTTTTTAATTCCTTCATATGTTCCTTGTTGAACTGAACCTAGTATGATTTAAAAAATGAAGAATAACAAATAAGGAATTCAAATATATTAAAAATGCATAGACGTAGCCAAAGGAGACAAAGGATTTCCCTTTTGAGAAATTTGTCTATTCTAGTAAATATCATTTTATACTAATAAAAAATGTTTCCCTGCACCCCCTTTTCCCCAAGTATACAAACGATAATTTGTATTTTTAAAAAAATGAAAAATCAAAACTATTATTTTTTAAAAGTGATACAAAGGGCTTACAATAAGGAGATCTTAACGTTCTGCAATAAAATTTAAGGGGAAAACGCAAATCTAATAATGTCCCTCCTTAGCAAAATTCTGAATAAGTATATGATATATTAAAATACTGCATAAATTAATTTGTAAATATTTAAGCTCTTAATATGACACATTACATCTTAAGCCTCATTTATAGTAAGGCAAGCCATTGCAATGTTTAAGTAAATTATGGCAGTATTTTTTTAGCGATAATCATTCCACATAATTATTATCACGCCTACTGTAAATGAGGCTTTTAGTGCTTCCAAATTGAGTGTTAGCGATTTATGATGCGATTCAAATGAAATATATAAAAACAACACAAAATGCAAAATTATTTTATATTTTAAACTTATATAGTCAAAATAAAAATCATTTAATTTAAAATATAGAATGCATTTTCATCATGTTTTTTTTTAAATTATATTCTTAAAGAGCAACAATAGAATCCTGCCAATCTAAATGATATCATTTGAAATATATTATCTTTGATTGGAGCTAGAGTTTGAAAAAAAAAAGATCATAAGAGATTGAAGAGTAAAATCATTTATTTAAAAATTTGTGATTCAAAAGATATATTTTAAATAACTTTTTTACAAAAAATAGACTTTTAGGTAAAATGATCCACAAACTTTGTTTTAACATTCTCAATAAAATTCTTTGGAAAAAAAAAATTTTCAGAGATCATATTGAAGAGCATTTCAAACTCTGGATTGAACATTGCATCAAATTCATTAAATTTGAAGGAACTATCTGCATCAAATTCATTAAATATGAAGGAACTATCATTCTTTATTTTATAACTTAAACCAAAAATAGAATTATAATGTATAAAAAACATCAATTAAAATAACAAATATGAATATATACTTAAGAAATAATCTCTTGTGCCCATTATTATCAGATCGGGCCGATATTTTATCTTTTTATAAATATCGTTTATCGCTGTTAATATAAAATTTTTCGATCCGATCCAATAAAATGGCATCTTAATTTTTTAAAAATTTATCATTTATCTCAAATTTTATATTTGTTTAAAAATATTTTATATACTTTTAGATTCATGAATAAAACTATAACTGATCATTATAATATATTTAAATGACTTATGCTATTTATGCTATTGTAGAGTTAAATTATAGATGTTATTAAGAAATGAGTAGATGTATGTTGTGATGCAAAATAGCTCCATTTGAGCCAATTTATAAAAACGGCTATAATATTTTAGCCAGAAAAATATCGCTTAAGCCTAGAGATTTTGCTAATAGTGCAAAACTTTGAACCATCTATGATTATGCTAAAATATTGCTTAAGCCTTGAAATTTTGCTAATAGTGCAAAAACCATCTAAGAGGAAAATCTTCTGTGTGTAATATTTTTTGGAATACATAATTCACCGTTTTATAAAATTGGATTAAATATAGCGATTTTGCAACTCTAGATGTATGAATTAAAAATTAAAACAATTAGTATGTTTACAGAATACAAAGTATGATATTGTATTGGTAATTGGCCGAATCAGATCGGCCTCCAAAAAAATGGTAGTACACCCCTATTTGAAACCCTACAATAATTAATTTGTAAAAATGATAATAACATTTATTGTTATTTATTATGTATACCCCCATGCATTGAGGAGGGGTGGAGGGTTTATTATATATTTACATTAGCTCTTGAGTAAAATAAAAATATAATTCCCATTAAAATAATTTATAACAAAAATATTTAGTTATGAAAATATATTAATCTTTAATTTCAATATGTTTGGAGTTGAGTATAAAATTTACAAAATATCCATTTTGTAAATTAAGGATATCCTTAATGTTAATAGTCAGTGTCATAATAAACAATGAAGACTTGCAAACTTTGTCCTAACAAATATCATGCAATTAACAAATGTATGTGGACACTACAAAAAAAGAAATTTGTAAAGATCATTGAAAAAAAATTATGTATGAATTGCACAAAAAACATTTTAATTATTTAATGTAACTTGGTGTTACTTTATGAATAATAAAAATATTGACTTGTTTTAGCTATTGACATTAAAGTTGTTAATCCTAATTTTTAAAATAGTTCATATTAATGTTCATTTAAGCAATATTCTAGGGTTAATTTGAAAAAAATTAGTAAATAAATCTGGCATTTGTTTGCAATAAAATGCATATTATACTCTCATTAAGTTTCTTAGTAGGTTTAAATGATTTAGTCTAAGATAAATACTTGAATTTTGGCCTTTTCATCTTCACTAAGAGAATTGTATTTATCTTCTTTTGGAATTGGTTTGTTAATAATTGTTTTGGTAAATCCTTCTTTACTTATTGTATCTACATTCCATGGGGCTAACTTTTCTTTTTTCTCTAACTCTTCACATTTTTGTTTTAGCATATGCCCCTCATCTTCAATATTCTTTAATTTTTTTGCTAAATCTTCCAGTAGATTTTTATTATTGTTTTCTTGGTCGTTTAATTGCTTGGCCTGTTTAATTTTAGAAAAATGCATTCATAATCAATAAATACTTATTACTTCTATGTCTTTCATTTTATCTTGTATTTCTAATTTTTTTTTATTATTTCTAATTAATGATTATTAGTTTGTAACAATAATAATAAATTTACTCTTTAACAGCTATACTATAATTTTCTTTTTCTTTTTCCGACTCTTCCATTCTTTGAACTCTTGCTTGATGTCTCCATCTAAATAAGCTAGGTGTATCTATATTGGGATGTGTATCATCTTCATCATCTGATATCTATTAAAAATATATACCAACAAGAGAATTAAAATCATATAACTAAATAATATTATAAATGAAACTAAGATAAATCATATTACTTCAATATCTTTCCATTTACTATAATCAATACTCGACATCTGAAGAGAAACTTTTTAAATTTTAATGAATGCGTCAAATAATATAAACTTTAAAGAAATTTTTTTATGAATTTTCTTAATCATGAACTTACGTATTTAACAGACATTTAAATTTAAATCGGCCATTGCCCTATCCTATAAAGTAATTATATATATTCACAATACTTGTGTATAGGCTTTTTATTTGCCCAATTCTCTTTATCTTAGCTTAGTCCTAAGACTATTGCACTTACAAGTAAGTGCGATTTACCCACAAACGTGTGAAGGGTTCCTCTTTTCTTTCCTCTATATGAAATATCTAGTTTAATGGATAATGAGGAAAACCTAGAATAGATTTGTTGCTACAACGTTTAGAGGGGAATGATCACTTAATTATTGCGATAGATCACAGCTGTCATATTAATCGATCTTTTAATAAGATCAAATACATATTTATCTTTTCAAAAAAAGGATCAAAATGCAGGATCTACTTCTTTTAAGGAACACGATCTTTTCTTATTTTATTGATACCGAAGAATTATAATAATAATTAGCCTTTAATAATAACTAATTCTAAATTATCTCCATGCCTTTCATCAACAACGTGTTTAGCTTTACTAAACAAGCATTTTAGTGGAGCGCTGGATACCAAAGGTGTGTTATATTGTTTTTTTTTTTTAATTTACATAAGTATTATAAATATCAATTGAATCTTCATTTAATTTTTATAAATATATTAAGGAACAACGTATTTTATTAATAATTTTTTACAAAGTATCAATTTTATCCCTACATTATTGAATAAGCATCTGCATGTGGTTAATCCTGTAAGTTTACTAATTGGGTAATTAATCTTTCTTTACCAAAAGATTAAATGGCAGATTAGTATAAAGCTAATTACTCATAAATTTTGTGAATTATGACTGCTAAAGTGCTATTTTTCTTAGTGTTGGAAATTTATATTAAAATATAACATTAAAATATGTTAATTAACATTATTATATAGAGTTGAGGTGGTCTAGATAAAATTTATGAGAAAAATATAAAATATGGCAGATGATGCTAAAATATGATTGAGATAGATTTTTTTTAAAAGAATAATATTTTGATTTCTTTTAAAAAATTTTATTTTAACTTATCCATTTTAGACTGGACTACATAATGCTATCTAGATAAATTATAAATTTGTCTATTTTTAATCTTACAAGGTTTGGACTTTTTAAAGTATATTTTTAAATAAAAGCTGAATTTCTGAATCAAGCGACATCTGTAAATATTTTACTACAATCAACGTCTGCTTAAGTGATGGGTGTAGACAGCGTCTACATGAGCGGGAGGGGTAGGAACAGTTTGCATCCTATTTTTTTGAGGGGGTAGGATGCTTTATTGGGGGTAGGATAAATTTTTTGAGGCTATAAAAGAACAAAATGAATTTCACCTTAATAAAATTTAAGTAAAAATTTGATCTATTAAATTTTGAGATGAAATAGGACAAAATTTATTGCTGTAAAAATTAAACTTATTTTATAGTATTATTATAATACAATTCATCCAAATCTATATATTGCAAACAATCATACACATTGTTTTCCAAATAAACTATCCTTTTAAATTAAAAGGTTTAGATATTTTAGCAAGCTCATAATGCCATAATAACTAATTCATTGTAAATAATGGAGGTTTTAATTAGATTTATTGTCTAAAAAATAAATTATTTATAATCACAAAATATAGATAGTTGGTAGTAGATATAGATTAATTTAAGTTATCCTTTATAAATTCTTTAAAAAGTGTATCAATAAATAAATAGATAAAAATAATGATAAATAGACACAGCCGCCGAAAGCGGCGAATTTTTAGGGGGGGGGGGGGTAGGCAAAGGTTTTGAAGGGGGTTTGCATCCAGTGAAAATCCTGTCATGTAGACACTGGGTGTAGAGGCCATTTGCCTACATTTAGTTCGTGGAGTAGGCATACGAAGTTGGATAGAGTAAAGTATAAATTAAATTATAATTAATTTATACTTTAAATATGAAAATAACGATAAAATTTTGTTAATTTTTTATTAAATATTTATTTCTCATTCATTCATATATTTTAGTATAGTTTGAAGTTATGCACGCTACCAATATTAAAAATACGGTTAGTAATAGAGCTGTACTGATATTAAATTATTAAATATTGGGAATACCATGGCGTCGTTATTAGACTTTTAGAAAAAATATCGGATGTTTTTTTTAAATTTTATCGATACCGATTTTATGCACATTTATATTTTTTATACATTGAACTAATTTCCCTACAATGTTTAATGTTTTTTTTTACATTTTTTATAGAAAGTAAAGTATATTAATAAACTAATATAAAAACTAATTCCATAAATATGATATTTTTTTGTCTATTGTTAATCCATTGATCATGTAAATTTATTTGATTAACTAATAAAAATATTTTATCTCATATTTATCCCTTTGATTATTTGATGGAATGCTCAAAGGTTTTCAACGTTGGAAATCTTTGCACCTAGGTATTTGGGGCAGGGACCCGAACCGTTATTTATAACGGTTCAGTTTGGTTACGCTTCAGTATGTAAAAAATTATAATGGTTAGGTTTTGGTAACGGTTCTTAAGAAAAAATTTACAAAGGTTCGGTTCAGCTAATTATAAAGGTTCTTAATGGTTCATTACGGTTAGAATTTTTTTTTTATTGAAGTAACACCATCGTCTAATTTATTTTTATTTTAAGCATTTATGAATTATATATAAAAAAAATATATAAAATTCTAAATTAATCATTTTTAGATATATTATAAGTAATATATTTTTTAATATAAATGGATTCATATTTGTTTTTTGTGACGATAACACAAATTTTAGCCCCGAACCGAAAAGTCCCTTTCTACAGAAACTTGTGTTACGGGAACCATAAGTACTATAAGAGCAAGTTTATATTATTCTGGATATTCAAATTTTTTTGATTTCTAAAATATAAAAACTGAACCGGTTTAACCTTTTTTTATAAAAACTTCTTCAAAAAATTATTATATCGGTTCGGTTACGGTTACGGTTCTGATATTTATAACGGTTAATAATGGTTTAACGTTTCGTTATGGTTCACTCCGGTGGGCATCGATTGCAAGTTTTCTATTAGAATCAGTTCAGCTGGTGATACAGATATAATTGCTAGACAACTCGATTTTATATTTGAAAACGTCTGACTCAATATTTTTGCCAAAATATTACTTAAGACTGGATTTCGCTATAGATGTTAAAGTCTTTGTGTAATCTATGACCAAAATCTTCATGCCTCTGTAATATTATTTTGGATAAAATATTGAATAAATCGGTTCAAATCAAGTTGCTTAACAACATTGGATATTGATAGCCCTCATATGTGAAACTTATTATCAGATAAACTTTAGGCTCATATCTTTATAAAGAACAATAACATATATTATGATTTTAATTATTTTATATTTCTTTATTTTATAATTAAATTGATATTGATATTCAATATGTTTTTACTTTTTATTCAAATGAAGATATACATATAGTTTGTTATATATAAAATTTAATATGAATATATATTTAGTGTGCATATAAATTTAAACCTATCTGTATTAAGACTAAAATGGTTAAGTGGAAATTCTGATCATCATTAGAACAAATAATATGGAAATATATATACATTTATTCGATAAGGGTCACAACATAATAAGAAAAGACACTATTTACTGTATATCTTATAAATATAATATTTCAAATTTAAAGACATATATTCAAAATTTTGAAGCTTTGAACCTTTTAAAAGCCGAGATTGAACATTCTGATGAAAACACTTTTTTAAGAAAATTTATTTTAATTATTCCATTTATAAAATTATGACAAAATAATTAATGTAAATATTGATATCGGATCGATATCGGTGCCATTTAAAATAAATAGTGGTAAATATTGGATAAATAATTGTGGATCGGTACAACCATAGTTTGTAAGAACTAGTTGATTATCACCAGCTAATGATTATTTGCTAGTCCTGGTCTTAATAATTATGTTGATGTTTAGAATTGCTTGAGGTTATAATAGTGGCACATTATGATTTTTTAAAATCACTGGGTTATTAGAGGATAATGTATAGGTAAATATCATAGCTGGAGGCCGTTTTTTTTGGGGGGGGGGGATAAGTTTGGAAGGGGCCTGCTACAAATTAATTTTCTATCATGCAGACCATGCCTACTTCATATTTTATTATTGTCAACATGTTCCTAATAATTTATTTATATTTATATATAAAAGTCAATCAATAAAAAAAGATTGTAATTGGTAAAAGGACACAGAAGAATATAATAAAAAAATTATTATTTCTTTCATAGTTAATTACAACATCGCCGGGGTGGCCTAAAACGCAGATGACAAGTCAAGATACAAAAAATCCAAGAGATTAGCTACAAAGGCGGTGGCTAGGGCCAAATCTATGGCATACGATGACATGTACGAAGATCTACATACCAAAGAAGGGCAAAATAAAATATACAGATTAGCCAAACAGCGAGAAAAGAACTCTAGGGATATAAACGGAGCTCCGAAAGTAATCAAAAATAAAGATGGGAAATTGATAATAAAGGAAAAAGAAATAATGAATAGATGGAAAGAATATTTTCAGGAGCTTCTCAACTTTAATTCCCACATATTGCATCTCGATGAACACTCCCCTTGTCAAAACCTTGTACAACCTATAACAGAACAAGAAATAATCACATGCCTCAAGCATATGAAAAACAACAAAGCTAGGGGTCCAGACGATATTCCAATAGAAAGCCTTAAAGCACTAGAAGATGATGGAATACATCTCCTCACAAATCTGTACAATAAAATACTTGGAAATGAAGAGGTTCTCCAAAAATGGAGGCAGAGCTATCTAGTTCCTATCTTCAAAAATAAAGGGGATCCACACAATTGTCAAAATTACAGGGGCATAAAACTAATGTCACACTGTCTAAAACTATACGAAAAAATAATAGAAAAAAGATTAAGAGATATAATCGAAATAGGAGAAACACGGTTT